TTCTTACCCCTAAAATGACTGTCTTCAATAAGCAGTGATTCACTGAACTAGCCCTGAAGCTGCCTTTGAAAGCTCAGTATTCAAATACAATCTGTGCCAGCAAGTACCAGGAGAGGGCTTTCCCTTGATATTTAAACAAACTATACCCTCAGGTATTTCAAACATATACTCTATATTTGTGTATTTTGGAATACTAGTCTTGATAAAAAGCTAAATTATTTAATTATTATTATTATTAAAAACAGAAAACTACTTGTATTTAACCTCTACACTTTAATTCCATAGTAAAAAATGAGGGACTTTGAAATATACAACTTCTGCATACATGCCACTTTAGCGCTACTTAAGTATTTAACTTGTAAAGCTACCTGATCTAGCCTTGTGATGGCTAATGCTTTTCTTAAAGCTTTAGCTCTTACAATTACATGAAAATATCTATTTTATAAACATAAATAAATTTTTATCTTAAAAATCTTTTTAATCTTAATCCTTTTAATCCTGAAAGCCTTACAATTCAAGAAAAAATCTCGAAAATGTGAACTGAATAGATTCAAATTCCATAAGGTAAACAAAAGCCATTCAAAATTTATGGGTTTTAATCTGACATTAGAGGTGCTTAAGGATGCTAACTAAATAGCTAAAGTGGTTGCTCTCCTCCCATTCCTGTATATGTCATCCCTTGCCATCCACTGCTGTGTACCAACACAAGCATCAACAGGACCCACACAGCAAATAAGAATCACACAGTACGGTTGCTAAATGTATAATACAGTTCAGGATTATTAGATGCCTAACTTGATAATCATGTTTTAAATTCCAAAAAGCAGTAACATTTAAAGATATCTGCCAATAAGTTTGTCTAGTATTAAGTACATGAAAAAGAAAAAAACAAATACCTGCAAATGCAGTATTTTCAACTCTGCAAGGCAGAGAAGCTTAATTCTTCTAAAGATACCTCATTTCTTTCACTCTTGATCTAAGCCACATTATAATAATAAAGAGGCTGAATTACTGATGAGCTGCTGGCTACTACAGAGGAAGCTGTGTTTCTAGCAGATTATCTAAAATATGAGAATACAAGAAAGGTACTAAAAAGCAAGCAAATGAAGAGCAGGTGATACCAAGTTTTCTTCCTCTGCCTTGTTATAAGTTCCTCCTCCAGTGCTCAGTGGGCTCTAGGCCAAACTACTTAAATACGATAAGCTGAAACTATTCACTTTTTATTGCTGTTGGTTAGTTTTCTGCCAATTTATCAAATGGGAATGGGTTAGCACAGGGTACTACAAGAGCCAGAGCCAATGAAAGGAAAGGGGCAGAAATGTACTACTAGTTATTTGGATAGTGATCACAGACAGATTAAGCTCAGGCTACTGTGTAATCACAGTCTGAAACTAGTTACACATTTGGTGGCAGTGTTATTTGAAGATATCTAGCCCCTGCTCATGCACTTTTCTATAAAGTCTTTTTTTCCCATTTTTTGGAAAGGAATTTATTATATGGCTGCATGGAGAAGAAAAACAAAGAACACATATGATATAAAATTAATCTCTATCCAAAACTTCTATTTTCCCATCTCCCCAAGTAAAAGTGGTCAAAACCCCAGCCGTACTAGTACAGAAGAGGCAAATGATGGGCTTGGCCTTGATAAATTAAGCTACTCCTGCCATCTGAAAAAAGAAGTCAATTTATCTATGGCTGGAAAACAAGCAAAGAAGTCCAAATGAGCCCTGGCAATGTGTCCTGGGTTCAGCTGTAGCAGTCATTTTTCTCCTTCTTAGTTGCTGGTGAAGTGCTGTGTTTTTGACTTTAGTCTGAGAACAACGCTGATAACACACTGATGTTTTTAGTTGTTGCTAAGTAATGTTTACTCTGATCAAGGACTTTCTGAGTCTTATGCTCTGCCAGTGAGGAGGAGCACAAGAAGCTGGGAGAAAGCAAAGACAGGACACCTGACCCAAACTAGACAAAGGGGTATTCCATACCACAGCACATCATGCCCAGTATATAAACTAGGAGGAGTTACCTGGAAGGCCCAGATCGCTGCTTGGGTCGGGCTGGGTATCGGTCGGTGGGTGGTGAGCAACTGCATTCTCTCCCCTTTCTATTTCCCTTATCATTACTATTATTGGTGGTAGTAGTAGTGGTTTTGTATTCTACCTTAGTTACTGGACTGTTCTTATCTCAACCCATAGGAGTTACATTCTTTTGATTCTTGTCCCCATCCCTCCAGGAGGAGAGGGAGGAAGAAGGGTGGGGAGTGAGCGAGCGGCTGTGTGGTTCTGAGTTACTGGCTGGGCTTAAAGCACAACACAATGTAAGACAGAGTTTAAAGAAAATACTCTTGAACAAAGTGCTGGTGGAAAAAATATTTGCAATTATGAGTACAAACTTGCTCACATTTATAAGATCTGTTCCTCTGTATACAACAAACAGTACTCTTCCATCAACTTTTTCTCTTAAGCAAAATAACCATCACTACTTCCCAAATTGACCTCCTGCTCAGATCAAAAGGGTATTTTTAAAAAGATCCAATTTCCCAAGAGAAATTGTGAGCTAGTATTTCCATTGAACCAGGAAATTGGACTGAAATCCAACACCAAGTAAAACAAGACAACAAACGAGTTCAGAAATCGAAAAAATGTCACATGCAGGGTGGGATAACTGTAAATGGTATCTCTTTGGATCAGTAAATGCACAGTGTCCCAGCTGCAACAAAAGCAGACGTGTGTCAAAAAACATTAATGAGGAGACCAGCAACTTCAGTGACAAAAGCTGGATGTTTTGACAAAAAAAAAAAAAAGCAAGCTCTTGCCATGTCAGACCTTGCTACCTTGCAGTAGCAGCTTAGAAATTAAATTGCTTGGAGAAATCAGAGGGTCACAGACCATAGTGGAAGTCAGACATCTGAAGGTGGAATTGGGCTAAGAGGATGTCTAGACAGGACATAGTTTTATAATAATTTTCTATGTTGTTTATAATCTCCAGAAATCAAAGAATAGAAATCAGATAGTCTTAGACAAACAATACAGATTTCCAGAACCTTTTTTGAGTGAAACATTTTTGAGGAGCTGGGTTTATTTCTGCATAGCAGCCCTAGTACATAGCTCAGAATAAGAGAAAGAGGTAGTTTCTAGCAGCTTACTTACATGACAGCTTCTACAGTACTTTAGATTCTATACCCCAAAAAACACTCTGAATAATCCAGATACAGTATCCAAGTCCTTGAAATCAGCTTGCAACTAGGCACCAACGTGAGTCGGTCAGGACAGTTAGAAGCTAGGAGGAGAAGGATGGGAGCAGTTCAATCTGAACTGGCAGAAGAGCCACACAGTTCATGACTCCATGTACTGGCAAAAGCTTCAAGTATAATTTGTCAATTGACACAGAAGCTCAGCAAAATTTGGACTAGGGGAGCAACAAAAGGAAGCAAAAATATCCAGAAGCCTTTGGAATTTGCCACAAACCTTTATCTTTCCTTGAAGCACTGTATGAGGAAAGTAAGGAGCTAGCTTCTAGATAGAGGGAAGCTGTTCACCATAACCCATTCACCAAACTATAAAAGCTTAAAAAATTATATATATATATTTATACATATATTTAAAGGGAAAAATAGACAATAAAAATTAAATTCTTATATTTTTGAGAAAATACTCCTTTGGTCAATTAAAGATAAGCAGGGAATGTACATTTGTACATCATGAATCTGAAGGGATCCATGTATTATTTAGAAGGTTCAAATTATTTTAAAATTAATCTTGTGTGAAAGCCAAAGCTATCACAGTTGAGCTTCTAATGAAAGCTTCTTTTGGCCTGTTGCTGCAGGATTTCTTACAGGTGCATGGAGAGAACAGAATTCTTTACTGAATGTAAGACAAGGAGGGAGACTGAAAGGAAGGCAATGTAAAAAGACAGCAAAAACTCCAGGAAGCTCCCTCAGTCTGAAACTAATTCAATCAGAAAACGGGAACACCTCTTACATATCTGAAGTAGTAAGTCAACTTCAGAATATAAACAAGATCCATTTCTGTTCCTAGCTCTGCTAATTCCTTAGCATTAATCTTATCACATGAAAAGAGAGAAGTCAGATAAAAGCTATCCAAAATAGGAAACAAAAAGGCCTTTGGAAACACCTGGTATTTAGACAAATGTCTGAGCCAAAACTGTTAATTGTTCAAAACAAAATGTTTGCATTTTCCTCAGAACAGTCATATAATAGGGATAATTACTTTGACTCTTATTTGTAGTCATATTTAGCAGAAACAAAATCAGTCTAACTATATCTGTACTAAAAACCACAGTACTATTACTGAGTTATCCAAAATAAATTAAGCATATTACCTTAGTTCTCTACCTTGGCTGATATATATCACCCTTATGATGATTTTGCATTCTATTATGTAATGCAGCTACTTCTCCATTTAAGGTAACAGAAGAATCATGCTAATGAATCAGATTCTACTTCTAGAACACAATATTCTTATTAAAACTGCATACAATTTAGCATGATTACAAACACATCTCTGCAGTTGCGGGGACAACCAGCCATTCTTTAAAAAGTTTAGACACATATTTGTCACCAAGCCACACTTAATGGTATTACTACAAGCTCTTGGTCCAAACTTTAATCAAGGCTACAGTTATGTTTTTCAAGATATTTCTTCATGCCCTACTCTTTTTCCTGTTTTCCTTTGGATTATGCAGAGGAGAAAAACAGTATAAAGGCAGTGAACAGTTTAAGGGAGAGACCTATACTTTGCATTTAAGTTATTTTTTCTAAAAGTATTCTTTCATTATCTGTTGAAAGTTAACACTTGAAAATGCAAATAAGATGTCATTTTAACTGTGGCAAAATAAACTGGACTCAGACCTTCTAATTTAGGAATTTGCATCACCTTGTCCAAGTTACACAGTTCAGTGAAAATATTGTCAGGTAGCATCTCTAGTTATTCCTACCAGGTTCTGAAACAATAATTTCTCTTATTCTGTGCATAGACATGTACCTCTCCTCCTATGGTAACCAGTCCAGGCGAATCAAGCTTCCTTTTCTTCCGAGGACCGATAGCTGCCAATGCAGTGAGATTGGCATCCCTGTACCTCATCTGCGCAAGTTCTTGTTGCTGCATCTATTAGAGAGAGGAAAAACCTCTGGTTAGTTTTTATTATGAGGTAAAAGTGACACAGGAGCAATCTCTAAGAGTACTTTGCTGTTCCTAGAAATATCATTCGAGCAGCTCAAGCATGCAGCCTTGCAGTACAGTAATAATAAAGACACAGAAGTTCTTTTAACTTTCCTCAGGATTTCTGCTTCCAATAACTGAACTTTTTTTGGAAAACTCCATCCTTATTATTGAAAACTGTGATAGCCAGTAAGTACTACATAGCAACCTCACATCTCCATATGCCATGAAGAATGTAAATACCAATTCAAATCCTCAAAAATATTTCAAACATTATTTCATCTCAGATTTATCTTGCATATTTCAAATATACTCCATACTTGCTTAAAAAATCCCCATTATATTTAAATTAATAAAACACTTCTATCTAAATGTTAGAAGAAATTAATGCTGACACAAAACCCCTACAAACTGAATTTACATCTGGTTTCTGGGATTAGGCTTTACGTAACAACACATTTTACTAGACTGAAGCTAAGAAAACAACCTGCCAGCGCATTATGCAACAATATACCAAGCTACAGAAAATAAGATTAAATACCCTGACCACCCAGTGCTGAAGAGGTAGGACTGCATATTCATTGTAAGTATAATCCTTTCAGAGAGTTAATTATAACAGACATATTCCCATGAACAATCTTACTTTAATAAATATTTTGATCAGCAATACTACACAAGAATAACCGATTAGGTAATGCAGCATATTATTTTAATTAGATAACAGCATTCATAGCTCCATAGCCCTTAGTAATAATTTTTAGTAATTTCAAAACTTTGGGTTTGCATGATCCTTCAGTAAATTCAGAGGTGTTTGTTTTCTAATCCCATTGATATACTTGTTCCCACTTCAACAGAAACACACAGAACAGTACCTCAAGAAATTCAGCAGTGGTAATAAAAACATTGCATGATACAAACACAATTCTTCATTAAAATAAAGTGTAGATGGAAGTGTCTCAGCCATTACTTACACGTGAACTGAATATACACAAGCAGGGCCTGAACTATCTTGGCCAATGTTAAAAGGACAGGAAGTTTAAACAAAAAAGTACCAATGTATGGTATCTTTTCTCCAGTCACTTCTGCCTAGAAAAAGCAGGTCCATTTCATGCATACTATTTAGTGCATTTTTTAGTTTTATTCACTTAGCAATGCAACATATTTTCACATCATTCAGAAAAAGCAAATTCAGTACATTTAGAGTTTGAAACCCCATTTTTCACATTTTTATGCTATATATTTTGCATCTTCAGTTATCATAAATTCAACATTATCTACAAATACACATTTCATCTACAGGACAAAAGAATTTCCTAAATACCAAAAAGAAATGCGGAAAAATACTTAAATAATAGTGCAAAGGTCTATACATACTTCCTTTTGCCATCTCATATTAGGTTTTTAGCTCAAATATCTTTGGCTCTCTTACAGATTAAATGCCAGTTAGACAGACCTGCCCGCTTACCCTTTCAAGATATACAGCAACAGTGGCGAGCTCTAATGTTTTACAAAGGTCATGATTGGAAGCTAGCCCATAAGTAATCATTTAAAATTCAATAGATTCCTATTTGTAGTCAGGGAGAGAAAATGGACATTTCAGCTGTACTGTAATTATAAGGCTTCAAGGCAACTGTAAATAGATGTTCAAATCCAGATACTAGCAAATACCTTAAAGAAGAAATTATTACTATAGTATAACATATATACAGGAAAGGTTGAAGATAAAACTTCATATAAAAAAAGATCAATCATCTTTTTCCTAATATGACATGCTTGCCAGCCTATAAGGGTTATCACAATTATCAGAAGTCTGATGAATATTTAAGTGAGGGCCAACTGGCTTGGAGTGTTCTCAGACAAAGTTGTAAAGTGGATGGCTTCACAGAAAAAGAAATTCTGCATTGGAGGAAGTATTTGTTTCCTGGAAAGTGCAGGTCAAAAATAAAGTCTGACATAACTGTTATCATGTAGTTGATATATGACTATCTTATCCAAAGTCACCACTTTCATTTAATACATAACAGGAAATATGAGTCAGCCAATGGAGCCAAAGAAGCTGGGCTCTTTTCTACTGACACTGGGTGAATACCACCAAGACCCTTCAATACACTTCCCTGTGCCTCTCACCCTGCTTCACACAGCTTCTCTATTATTTAGGCCAAAAGCCCTCAAGACATGGATCCTCCTTAATGTGCCTTACTTAAAATCTAGCCCCAGTGGGACTAATAAACACAAATACAAATAATGAATATGCTTCCAGGTACAAAAACTCCAGACAAAAACACAATGCAGTTTCTGACATTGGTTTTACAGGACACACTTTGGTATACTACAGTAGAAAAGAACAACTGTCTTATGTAAACTTTAAGGAATGTTAGTAAAAAAAAAATAATCAAATACACCAATATAAAATATATTTTGCATCATCAGTATGACTACAGTAGCCTGGTGTTTTATATAATAGGGCTGAAGTAGTGAAATACTTGATAAACATTATAGTACACAAATTCTCATCAATCTTTTTAAAAATCTTTATTGCTGGTGATTCCCACCCCCACCCCCCCGAGCTCGTCTGAAGGAAGTGGATGATAAAATTACATTTAAAAATAATCAAAAGAATTAGGAGCCTGACACTGTTTACCAACAGAGGCCTTCATCTTGCAGTGATTACTGTACTCCAGCTGGCTTAAGGGAACATCTTTGCACACTAACTATTAACTATTAACTAGCTTATAATAAAATATCTATGAAGTGTATAGATACATACTAGTGAGACACTTGACAAGATTCCTGGATGTTATTTAACATCCTGGATCAGAATAACCACCATTGTTGGCTTCCTCATGCCCTTATTCCAACTCTCCCTTATTTCCATCTCTAACTCACATGCTTCTGTTTATTTAGAGCTGTCGTGGTTTAAGCCCACCCAGTAACTCAGAAACAGGAAGAAACATGACTCAGAAAGTCCTTGGTCAGAGTAAGCATTACTTAGCAACAACTAAAAACATCTGTGTGTTATCATCATTATTCCCAGGCTGAAAGTCAAAAACCACAGCACTTCACCAGCTATTCAGAAGGAGAAAAAGTACTGCTGAACCCAGGACAATACCCTACATGAGATTACCTGTACTAGTCTCTTTCCTACTCATCACCTGACACTTCATAAAAAATATTACCCCAATTGTAATCTTTGATTAAAAAATAAATAATTAAATAAAAGCAGTATCTCAGCTCTGGCGAAAAGAAGGGGACACTACTCGCTTCATAGAAACATTCACACATGCAACGAGGCTGCTAACGTCTGATTCAACAGAAGCTTTTAAAAATTAATGCCATGGAGATAGCAGCTATTTTTAATAGTCATTAAACCTGATATGGTTATTACAGGATAATTGCAAAAAGTTTAGGAGTAGCCAAGCAGTTCTGTGGGAGTACTATAAATAACATAGATTTAATAAATGTGCTTTGGTGTCAACAGAGATTACTTTTAAGATGTACCACTTGCACCACCAGATGCCAAATGCATGACTCTGACCAATGGAGGCTCTTCCCCCATAATACCTGTTGTGGTTTAAGTCCAGCTGGCAACCCAGAAACACACAGCCGCTCACTCACTCCCCCCTCTTCCTCCCCACACACCTGGAGGGATGGGGAGGAAAAACAAAAGAATGTAACTCCCACGGGAGAAAAGAACAGTCCAGTAACTAAGGTATAACACAAAACCACTACAGCTCCCAACAATAATAATGATGAAAAGGGAAATAACAAGGGAAGAGAATACAACCGCTCATCACCTGCCAACCGATACCCAGCCTGAACTGAGCAGTGAACCACCTTTTTCGGGTAACTGACCCCAGTTTCCATACTGAGCATGACATACTGTGGTATGGAATACCCCTTTGGTTAGTTTGGGTCAAGTGTCCTGTGTCTGCTCCCTCCTGGCTTCCCCTCGTCCATGGCACAGCATGAGACTCGGAAAGTGCTTGGTCATACTAAACATTATGGAGCAACAACTGAAAACACTGGTGTTATCAGCATTGTTCCCAGGCTGAAAGTCAAAAACACAGCACTGCACCAGCTGCTAACAAGGAGAAAAATGACTGCTACTGCTGAACCCAGAACAGTATCCACCCCTTATTCAATACCATTCATGCCAGGCTCAGATCTCACATTTTTCAATATACCATCACTCTTGTCTCATATCTATATATACACACATCCACACACACACAAAGAGAGAGAGATCATTCCTTAGTGCATGGACCAATCCTTATAAAGCTGCTGAGTTCATCCGGTCCATGACATCAGGCTCCATCTCTTGTAACAGTCTTTCAGAGCAGGAGAGGGTGTGTGCAGTGTTGGATTGTTGCCTGCTGATGATACCGCAGAACTCGTCTGGTTTCATCAAAGTTCATTCTTTGTTGGGACGATGGTCAGAGGGAAGTCAGGGCCGGTTGCTGGTGACCTGAAGACATCTAGTGGGTGGGCTATAAAAGTATTACACAGCAGGCAACAGCAAACAATTGAGTTCATTGGCTGTTTTCCCCTAAATTAAATCCCCTTGAGGTACACATCTGACTTCCCCATCTTCCCACATTACCCACCAAGTATATCCAGGTCCCTGAGCAAAAGCAATCCCACGAGTGGGCTTGACTTTACCTGAAGCAGGAATAACCCAGACAGTCTTCCCCATCAAATTCTTTATGTGCACCACAGGAACAGTGTCCCCTCCTAGAGTATGAAAAAGTTCTGACTGGACTGGGCCAGCCCTGTTGGCAGATCCTCTGGTGTTGACCAACCAGGTGGCTTTCAGTAAATGTGTATCCCAATGTTTGAAAGTCCCACCACCCATTGCTCTCAGTGTAGTTTTTAACAGCCCATTGTACCGTTCGATTTTCCCAGAAGCTGGTGCACGGTAGGGGATGTGATATAGCCACTCAATGCCA